AGCCTGGTTCTGCTGGAGGTTTCTTCCTGTTAAAAGGGAGTTTTTCCTCTCCATCTGTCGCTACAAGCATGCTTAGTGTGAGGGATTGCTGAAGAGTCAATGAGTCGATGCAATCAACTGGTTTTCCTAGGATAGAATGCTTTGAATCAATTTGACTGTATGATCTGGTTGAACTGTAAAGTGCCTTGAGATGTAATCTGTTGTGAATTGGCGCTATATAAATAAACTGAATTGAAAATTGAATTGAATAGAAAAAAAAAACATTTTTTTCTTTGTTTCAGTCTTGCAGCATTTTTTTTTTTTTTTTTGCCATCCCACAGCCATGATTGCAAAATTTCACAAAATCATAATTATTATCTTGGTAGGGAAAGGTTTCCACATGTACATCACGTGAGAGGGGTGATAAAGGGCTGGGATTTATTCCAATGATGAGTCTTATTGCATCTTACATGGAGTTATGTGGATTTGAGCATATTTTTCTTTAGTACAAGCAATGTTCATATTCAGCCTGACATTGTTTTGGGTAAAAATTGGTGAAGCTCTTTAACTTATGTCTTTAAATAAAATCTGAAAGTAAAATTAAGTTCAGGTTCAGTCCAACTTTAACCTCATCTCAACCTGAATCTACAGGGTTTATTTATAGCTGGTAATATAATGTTTTGGTGCAACTTTTTAAAGTCGCTGTAAAAAATCTTTCAATGCTGACCAACTTCATCATATAAACAATTATCATAAATGGAGTTATAAAACCAGGCTACAAACGTGTCCTGGACTTCTGTTCAGACCTGAGAATTTCCAGTTTGCAGTTTGAACTCATCAGTCCAGAAGACAGCAGCTCCACTCCAGAATCCTGCAGCTTGTTGTTACTCAGGTCCATCTCTCTCAGATTAGAGGACTGGGAGCTGAGAACTGAGGACAGGACTTCACAGCTTCTCTCTGAGAGGTTACAGCGATTCAGTCTGAAGAGAGAGATAGAAATAGATAGAGAAAGAAACAAGAAAACAACAAAAATGTTTTATTTTCAATAGGTAGATCAGTTTCTGAAATAGTTGGATTTTAAGAAGTTCAAAATTGCAGACTCACTGGATATTTGGGTTGAATTTTTTTAAATGAATTTAGTGGAATAGGCATGATTAGTCAATTTCGGGGAGATTAAACTATAATAAAAAAAAAATTTAAAGGTATATTCAAATATATATAAAATACTAAGTATAATGAGATATTTGGTTTGCATGACTGGGGAACAGACAGACCATATTTGAAATCAATTTGCATGAATCTCAGTAGGTTTACGTTTGATTATGGTTGCATTTTTTTTTTATTCATCATCTCACAAAGTCTAAAAAAATGGGTACAATCCAATACCAGTTTTCATAGTTAATTAAAGAAACACCTAGGCCAACCGCAAGTTCAACTTTACAGGTAGATGTATCTAAATGCTTTTTGTTAAAAAGGATTCCACTTTTACAGATGTCTTACACACTTTAAAGACAAAACATGTTCACAAACTTTTTTGACCCACAAAACCAGACTTTACTCTTGACCCAAACTATTTGTATGCAACTATTTCTACAAAACCAATTAACCCCATGTGTGGTTTCCCCTCTCCTATTTCTCCTCTCAGTCAACATTCCTCTCCAGATTTTCCCTCCTGATGTTACAACTTCATTCTCCTTGAAAAAAATGAAGTGAGAAATGATTTACTGGCTTTTATGCATTTGCCGAGTTTTTTCATCAAATGTATCTGACATGGTCTAAAAAAATTAAACTCAGAGAAGCAGTCGATAGCCACTCCCTCCCATTGACACAACATGTGGACTGAACCTTGATGTCCAAACCCAAATTCTGTTAGTACTCACAGAGCTTTGTTTGATGCTTTGACCACTGGCAGCAGCCTGAGGAGAGCTTCCTCTGAAGCAGAGTATTTCTTCAAATCAAACACATCCAGATTTTCTCCTGATGTCACTAAGATGAAGGCCAGAGCTGACCACTGAGCAGGAGACAGTTCATTTGTGGAGAGACTTCCTGATCCTAGATACTGTTTGATTTCTTGGATGAGAGAACGATCATTCATTTCATTCAGACAGTGGAACAGGTTTATGCTTTTCTCTACAGACAGATTCTCATTGATCTTCTCCTTGATGTACTGAACCGTTTCCTGATTGGTCAGTGAGCTACTTCCTGTCTTTATCATCAGACCTTGTAGGAGAGTCTGATTGGTCTGCAGTGAAAGACCCAGGAGGAAGCGGAGGAACAAGTCCAGGTGTCCATTTGGACTCTGTAAGGCCTTGTCCACAGCACTCTGATAGAGAGTTCTTAGTTTTACTGTCTTAGATAATTTAAATAAAAAGGAAGTCTTTTTTTGTTCTTCTTCCATCAGGTTGATTCCATAAGTGATGAAGGTCTGATGGGCATGAAGAGCAGCCAGAAACTCCTGAACACTCAGATGGACGAAGCAGAACACCTTGTCCTGGCTCTGGTACAGCCCTCTCTCCTCTTTAAAGATCTGTGTGAACACTCCAGAGTAAACTGAGGCTGCTCTGATATCGATGCCACACTCTGTCAGGTCTGATTCATAGAAGATCAGGTTTCCTTTCTGCAGCTGATCAAAAGCCAGTTTTCCCAGAGATTCAATCATCTTCCTGCTCTCTGGACTCCAGTGAGGATCTGTCTCAGCTCCTTCATCATACTTGACCTTCTTCACTTTGGTCTGATCACCACGACAGTCG